CTTCCAGAGCATCCTTAGTTTCTGCTGCATTCAGGCAGGGAGATGGGGGGCCTCAGAGAACTCCCAGAAAGCCTCTGTCCTCAAAAGGCATAGGACAGGCCAAGTGCAGTGGCTCACACCTGTAATCCCAGCACTTGGGAGGCTGAAGCGGGTGGATTGCCTGAACTCATAGGTTTGAGACCAGCCTGAGCTAGAGTGAGACCCCATCTCTAAATAATAGCCAGGTGTTGTGGCGGGTGCCTATAGTTCTAGCTACTTGGGAGGCTGAGGAAAGACAATCACTTGAACCCAAGAGTTTGAGATTGCTGTGAGCTGACACCACAGAACTCTACCCAGGGTGACAAAGTGAGACTATCTCTAAAAAAAGATAGGCATGAGACGCCATAGGGTTGGGCCAAGGGACCAACACCCCTAAACTTCATGTGGGCATCCACACTGCTCCCCTAGAACCTTCCGAGCTCCCAGGATGTAATGCACCTTTGATTTTGTTTCAGTACCCTGACGTAGGAGACTGCCTCAGCTTCCCCATCTCTAAAACAGCACAGTCCAGGAGGCTCCCGGGTGGTGAAAACCGGAGAACACAGAAGCCTGGTTTGATGCACCAGACAGAGCACAACCACCTGAGTGACTCCATGGGGGATGCTCTAGCCCAAGGAGACCTCCAGCCAGCCCAGCCTTCTGGGCTTTAGTCTGTACAGTGTGGGCAGAACCCAACCCAACTGGGCACCAGGCAGGAGGCAGAAGTATGCAACTCTTATCTTGTTCTTTGAGCCAAAACTTAAGAGGTGGCCAGACCAAGCCACAGTAATCTGGCTTTGCCCACCAGGGCAACCCCTGGGCTCACCGTTCCAGACAGACAGAATCTACTCCAAGGCTGCCCCAGTCCATGGGAGTCAGCCCAGTGTCCTGGAAAAGGCTTTAAGGAGCAAGACATTACAGTACATTTGATCTGTCTCCAAAGAGGAGGAAAGTAGGCTGAGTGAATAGGTAAACTTTTTTCTTTTTTTTTGTAGTTTTTGGCCAGGGCTGGGTTTGAACCTGCCACCTCAGGCATATGGGGCTGGTGCTCTACTCCTTTGAGTCACAGACGCCGCCAGTGAATAGGTTAGTTTTCCTTGGATTTTTTCAAATTGACTTTTTATTATGGGACAATATTAGACTTACCATAGGAAAGTTCCCATACATACCTCACTCAGTGTCCTTAATGTTGACATATTACAGAATTGTGGGCCAAATGTCAGAATTGAGAGGTTCACCTTGGCTGTTACTCCTAACCCCAGACACTATTTGAGTTTCACTACTGTCTTCTTTTTTCTTTTTAGTCTCACTCTTGCCCTGGGTAGAGAATTCCTAGACTCAAGCTCCTGAGTAGTTGAGACTACAGGTGCCACCACCACACCTGGTTAATTTTTCTATTTTTATTTTT